TATCATTCAGGGTCTCACACCCTGAAATACTCACGAACTCGCTGATATCATCCCGCAGCACATCATGATTCCCTACTTTCTTCATCTACTCTTCTGTTGCATGCTGCGGCACCAACAAATCTCTCTCCTGTGACAGACAGTGACCTCTGCCACAACCTCAGTAGTCTGGCGGAGACCCAGAAACTCACGCGCCGACTGCTGCACCTAAATTTTCGGAGCAAACTCCACTAGAAACCCGGTCGACAAAATCATCCTATGACACAGCATTAACCGCCTCATCACCCAACTCACTACCAATCTCTTCCACCAATCACGTGCCCGGTTCTTCAACAGGCAGGAAGCACATATGACCTTCGCCTCCTCGGGGCAGAACTTGTCCTGAACGCGTTATCCATATCCGCTAACCACCTCCTACTAAGAATGGGGTCCCCAATCCCATGATAGTCTAGAGTTCCACAAGCTTGGAACTCCTGAAACGTCATCGCACGCTTCCTTATCATAGTCATCACCTCAGAGTGAAATGCGCTCATCCTCTAATCAAGGATCTCTAAAATTCCCTCCTTGACCTTACCGATGATCACAGGAGTCTGGTCAATAATACTGCACATAATCTTAGCTGGGATAAACTCCCTTATCTGATCATCGAGCTGCCCGGCTCCAGAGCCCGAGCCTGATACCTCGTCCGTGCCAGAGCTGCCATCTGGTCTACTATGTAGCGTCACCATGCTGGAAACATACTATAACAACCATCCGAATACTCCACCAATACCGAGGGATCACATATGCACTACAATTTTCCTGGTTTCATCTCAGCCCTCCTTGACTCGAGTACGGATCCTCTGATTTTAGTAGTACGGGCCCATACTACCTTCTACATCTATTTGTACTTTCCTCAAGGATTGCCTTGACTTCACGAAGTCCCTTCTACTACTATTGCTCTCTATACTAATCTCATCCTAGGCTTACCCTTGGGTAATCTCCAACCTACTCTCCACCATCAGCTGCATAAAAAGTCCCTGCTACCTTTCTCTAACTAGCTCGCGAATACCATTACATATTACTAAGACCAGATAATTCTTCGAATGAGAGGTCTCTCCCTACAACGGTTAGACTCAAACGAGAGCTGGGAAATAAGGCTAAAACTAACCTTCTGAAATTATTTAGTCCTCGTAATATGTAACTTAACATATTCGTTTACTAGTTAGCTAAAGATAACTAGAACTCCTAAAAGCACAAAGCAAGCCACATTCGGGCATTGAATAACCAAAACCAAACATATCCTAATCAGGCCATCATATCACTGACTAATCCGTACTAGCATGTAATTCAATAAGCTCATACAGCAGGCATATAAGGCATCTTCCTAGATCCTTAGCCCTAATCTAGCATGCAGTTCTCATACACGTATAATAGACATATAGGGCATCCTTCCTAGATCCTCATCCCTATTCTAGCATGCAGTTCTTATAATCATATCATATCATAACATAACATGTATGGGTATCTTGGGGAAAACTTACTTGAGCTCGGCCGATTGCACGCATCACACACCTTGTTATTTCTCAAAACCTTTAATTTTAATTCTTAGAAAATTTATTTATGTAAAAACTTTTCAAATCCCCGGTTTGAGTCCAGACACCCCCTAAGGTGTGTCCGAATCCCTCAAACAAAGGCTCTGATACCAACTTGTAACATCCCACAATTCATAGCCAAAAATTTCATTTTTAATTAAGTAAGTATAAAACCAGTAGTCTGAAACATCCATAGTGTTAACTCATTTCATAATCAAAAACCAGTATTTCAAATAACTAAAACATGTCATAGAAAAGTATTATGAGAGTACAACTCCCAAAGATCTCATAATGCGGAAATCATAGTGTGATGCATTGCGATCCTGCCGGCTCCTTTCCTTTTGAAAAAGAAGTACCTGAAACCAAAACTGAAAACCGTAAGCACGAAACTTAGTAAGTTCCCCCATTATACCACATAAACACATATTGTCAGGCATATCTGGGTGCCCGACCTACCCTGCTGAGCATACCTAGGTGCTCAACCTACCCATGTTAGGCATACCGGGGTGCCCAACCTACCCTGTCAGACATACCGGGGTGTCCGACCTACCCCTTTGGTCTCTTTCAACCGGTAACCAGGGACTATTTCACCCTCCTACCACTATCACATAATATCATAGCATACTAGCAAATAAAGCATAACAGATAGTGGCATACCATACAATTATCACAAAGACAATCATCCCTACGATAAGCACCTACTAGTGGGCCGACATTGGTGCCTTAGACCCACTTCTACTAGAAGGTAACTCACCTCATGCTGCTGAACTCCACTGCAAGAAATCCTTAGCTGTTGTCCTGGCAACTCCTCGAGCTATCAATACCAAAATATCACCCAATTAGCAATTGGGTTCTATACCATGATCCATAATCCATCCTTGGGGTGAAATGACCATTTTACCCCTGGCCCACAAGATACTTAACTAAGGCCCAAGTCCAAAACTCCAAAATCCATAAAGGCCCACTAATGGCCTACTAATGGCCTAATTTTCCAAATTAGGCCCAAAACCTTACATGGGCCTTTCCTAAAGCCCATTTACTTTTTCTGAATCATTATACATGTCCATAGCTAGCCCAACGGAATCCATGTACTTACAAGCCCATTAATGGCCCAATTTTTCCAAATTGGGCCCAAACTCCTTATTGGGCCTTATCCTAAGGTCCAATCCTTCAATTAGCCTAGAACACAACCAATATGATAGTCCATTAGGGTCTAAGAATCTAGGCCAAAACAGATGGCCCAAACACGAAGCCCAAAGTCTGAAATCCCAAACAGAGGCGTATACGGGGCGTACCCCTTCGGTACGTTGGGCGTACCCTCGCCTCGCATTGACCATCTATGGGATGGTTGAGTCTGTACGCGGGGCGTACATCGAATTACGTGGGACGTAACCGCAGAACTTCCAAACTATTTTTGTGACTTAATCAGTTAAGAGCATTGCGTCTAAACTTTAGAGAACCACCAAATAAAGCTCTTAATGCATAAAGTTGGAACCTTTATGCCTTTGCATGGTTCAAAGGGTCTTAATGACCAACTTAACCCAATAATATCATCTAGAAAATGCATGAATGGTTTCTAGCCTCAAAGATTGCAACTTTATGGGCTTATAACCTCTGAAATGCTAAGAGTGGCAACCCAAAGCTTTTGGAGTGGTGTCTAACCACTAGATCTTGCTCATGAGGCCAAAAAGGGACCAAAAACCCACATATTCATAAATAATAACATCTAGTGATCAAGCTCAAAACTTTTTACCTTCTTTGAGCTGAAAATGTAGCAAGAAGTCCAGATCCTCAAGTCCTCCCTTAAACCACGACCTTGTAATGAGCTTCCACTTCTTGAAATGCACCAAAAACCACCAAAATGAACCCACAAAGCTCACAACACTCTTGGATGAAGCTACTACTCGAAATTAGGGTTTAAGGCTCTAAGAATGAAAGAGAGGCACACCCCCTTGGATTTAAGGTTTTTTAAATAGTGAGTCAACCCTTAAAATTAGGGTTTGAAGATCCTGGACGTACGTTAGGTGTACTCCTTGTACGTTGTGCATACGTCTCCTATCCCGCGTACCACTTATCCATAACTACGTTGGGCGTACCCCAGCTTACATTGGGCGTACTCACGCATTTCCATCTTGCATGCATGCTGAAATGCAAGCTTTTCCCATCCAGGGACCAAAACCTTCAAACTAACATAACTCCCTCATTCTAGGTCTGTTTTCGACAAAACTTATATCCACGAAAAGGTGGAGAGAATCCCTACGCTCCTAACCACACACCCAAGTCTGGAAACCTTCCGAACAAATCCCAAACTTTTGAAAGGCCGAGATATCAATTTCTGATTCTACCATTGGCTTCCGAAGACACAATCGAATATCACCATGACAACTATATCCAGAATAGGCTAAATCCTTCCCTTCCCGAAGCCCTATGCCTCATGACAGTCGATGAAGGGGCCGCATCCCCCAGCAACGAAGCAACCCGAAACCGAGTGTTACAACGTGACAAGAAGCTTAGGTGACGCCCAGAATTGACGTCACCAGACACTTAGTTAACGTGGGCATAATTCTCCCAATTAGAGGAAGCCACGTATGACACTCATTGGACGAGGTCCCCACGATCCGTTAGTAGCAGGTATAAAGGGATCTATTCCATCTCAAGGAGGGGATCCATCTTTTCTCTCACTGAATTTACCCTAATTCTCTCTCTCAGAAAACTAACTTGATCGTCGGAGTGACGTCCCGGGAGAGCACTCTGTCGTCCTCTAACGATTCTTCTGTGTTGTGTTCTCAAGAAAGCTCCCAAGACAAATTCATCATCCCGCATCCAGACCCCTATAGAGCATGTCACAACAGTGTCCCTCCTGAAGATGTTGAGGTTCAAGTCTCATGGTAGACAAATATATAGATTAAGAAGTATGACTAGAGGATGTAGCGTGTTTGTTGTTCTAAAAAAAATATCAATCCTAAGTTGAAACCCCTGAGATAACTTTATTAGAGAATAATTAATAATAATTACTAAAATCGTCCATATATATATATATATATATATATATATATATATATATATATATATATATATATATATATTTTGCACTCACACCATCCTTGTATGATTTTTTGCATTTTTGTCCCTATAGACTTAAAAAGACTAAAATACCCTTACTGATTATTTTAATTGTTTCCTTTATTCAAAAGTTATTATATTGTTTAGTTCCAAATGATTATCACTAAAGGTCACCTTGATGTTTGTTTTTTAGTAATATATTTTTAGTAGTTTGCCTTTTTAAGTGTTGTCATAGTAGTTAAAGATCAAGAAATGCAAACTTCGTAAAACATGGTAATATGGTTAACATTTGATTTGAAAGAGAATTTTGGTAAGTACCTTCATAACATAAAACTAAAGATTTTTATGAACCAATATGTAAATTTAGAAAGAAAAAAAATCTCTGTAAAAGACAACATTCGACTTCTCTAGGTCAACACAAAAGACAACAATAACATGTTACATCTTTTAGTTTAGACGTAGTAAAAAAAATAAAAATCTATTCTATATATAGACAAAAATACCCCTCATATTATTCAACAATCAACAAGTTGTTCTCCATTAATCCTTCTCCAACGGTTGGGTATTCGGGTGATAGGGCCCACTCTCCATCCACCAAGAACTTAATTTCATACCTTCATTATGCAAATTAATACTTTATCAAATTATCTAAAAAAAAAAGACAAAATTACACATTTGGTCCCTACAGTTAGCAAAAAAACCAACGCATGTCCTTTTGAGGAATTTTGGACACGAGAGGTCCGTTTCACGTTTAAAATGAACATAGGAGGTCCTTTTATCTTTTTATCTAACGGTATTACTTTTTTCAGTTAAGTTCCATATGAAATGACATATTTGCCCTTTCTACCACAGTGGCCATTTATGTAATTTTGTCTGTTATTTATTATTCCAAAATGAATTATTTTCAAAATATAATAGCACAAAAAATTAAATTTTTATTAAATCGTTCATTTTTCACTAACCAAAAAAGAAACACTCGTGTACACCTCACCAGATAAAACAAAAATTTATCCATACAGACAGACATCATTACTCATTCAATAAAAAAAATACTCACATGTCATATCATTTCATGTCATGTCAAACTGTGTTGTTATTTTTACCTTCCAGGTCTAAGCATTATAGATGTGGAGAAGCTCGTGTAAGAGCCAGTATACTCTGCCGACAAGTCTTCTCCATGACTCCATCCATCAAAAGACCCCATAACTTGAACACTCTTAAAACCAAAAATGTAAAAAAAAATTAAAAAAAATAAAAAATTATTAACTCATATTATATTATTACATGTTAAGAGAATTTAAATAAAAAATTATAAAAAGATATAAACAAAAAAATATGATTTGTTGTATTGTTATAACACACACCTCTGCCATGCCATACCAGTGTAACGACACCTCTTTCGATTGTGCAAGTTCCACTTCTTTAATTTGTTTCTTTAACTTCTCTTGAACACCTTTTTACGCATTAAAACAATAAGAAAAATGGTTTTGTAATTTTGTTATTTTTATAAAATAATAAAAGATAGAAAATTATCGTACCTTGTAATTGTAAAAGAAGAAGAGACTGAATGTATTTCCCATTTATTTTTCTTGAACCTGCTGAAATGCCATAACTAACAATTTCTTTTGCCATATTTAATAATCCCTGAATGGAAGATTATATAATATGATTTTACAATAATAAAACAGATATATTTACAAAAATATTAAACTAAATTCAAAATTCATTTTTAATTTAAGTTAATGGACATAACCTGAATCTCAAGTTCTGTTACAGCAAGTTCACTTTTAAACTCAGCCAAAGCATCTTCCCTCACAAGTAACTACAAATAGATGTAATTTTAATTAAAACTCAAAAGAGTATAAAATTTGTTTTGGTTATTAAAAATTTGTAAGTATTTGAGTTAAAAGATTACAAAATAAAGACCTGACGTTTGAGATAACGATTGTGTTGATTAGCTTCACTTAACTTTCTTAAAAGCTTTGCCCTTTCAGCATCAGCAAGAAGTGCCTTTAACTATAAAGAAAAATTATGTTTAACATTAATAAAAAAAAAAAACATCACATTGCTAAAAAAAAAAGAATAAAAAAAGAACATATACATACTTGATCATTGTCGATTGGTTGTTCAAGAACATGTTCATCATCACCATTTGAGTTTTTCTTGGATTGAAGTGATGAAGATTGTTCATTAAGAGTGGGAGGAAAACAGAGTAGTCTACAATGGGGATAACGAATAACATTTCTTATATATTGGAACCCATGAATGCTTCTATTTGGCCACAAAATCCATGATATTTGTTTGTTTCTGCATCGACTGAAGAAAGATGATGTAAGGAGAGATGTTTTAAGTAAAAAGTGATAAAGAATTAAAGAAAGAAAGCAAATGATTTTATAATCTGTGTTGAATATCGAGAATATATAAGAAAAATAGAAAGTCTTACCCAGATAACAATCCTTGTATTGATGTGCTCATTGTATAACACTCCATGATGCACTGTTAGAAACAAAAGAAAGGAAATTATTGGCTAAATTTGGAAATAATTGGTGGTTATTGGGACGATTACAGTCCATATTCAAAGATTTGTGATGAAATTGGGTTAATTTCCTTTGATTGCGACTCTGATTTTGGGGGAAAAGAAGTCGGAAGCTAAGTTAATCGGAAGCAAGTGAACCCTAGAATTGTGAACTATCAATTAGCTAAAACGGAAGAAGGTTTGTAATTGGCATTTTATCAAACACGTTGAATGCACTAAAATCGTATATGAAATCAGTAGTGAACTACTTAATATCATCATAGAAATCAGAAAGTGATTTCAGAATTAGGTAAAACTCACCTACGACGACGAGCCGACAAATATCCGGTAAGTAAGCTGCTGTGATGTGAGTGCCTCTCGTTTGAACGGCGAACGTCGACTTCATAGATTTCTGGTATAAGGATTATGTGAGGCAGCGAACGGGAGAGAAGCAGCGCATGGTGGGACACGTGTTAGGCTGTTTATTGGCTGTCGGATTGTTAATATCCGATTTTACTTTAATCTACAAAACCCTTCATTAAATATATGTTTTACAAGGCTAACTCATACATTCTTCTATTATATTTCTATCCTAAAAGTTATATCTTTAGTGAATGACATTTTTTGGAAAGTGGAAGTCCTGTAATAGTCCAAAAAATCATGATCAAAATTTTCATTTTTAATTAAACACAAAATTATAATAGTCACATTGTTTCAAAACCATTTAATAATAATAGTGTCAAATCATCAGAGTAAATGTCAAAATACGAAAAACTGGTGAGGAGTGAATGCTGCGCCATCAGGTGTGGCTCTTCTCCATAGTATCGGAAGTACCTGAAACCACAATATAATCTGTAAGCAAAAGCTTAGTGAGTTTCTCTGTAACATCCATAAAATTTCATAAAATTTAAACTTTTCAAAACAACTCATTTTCTATAGAAGTGTTTACAAAAACCATTATTCCCAAAACATTATTTAAAAATAAGAATCTCTTTCAACATAGTTTTCAAAACAATCACATTATCAGAGTTTCCCAGAAATCATAAGTCCAAAATGCGAGGATGTGTACGGTCACGCCTTCACCTTGCCACGATCCACTGAAGTACCTGAAACCATAAACCAAAACTGTAAGCACGAAGCTTACTGAGTTCCCCCAAAGTACCAACTCCCAAACAGAGAACATATACAAATAACAGCATATTATGGGTCCAATCGACCATCGAGTTGGAATACCCCCAGACCCTCAACCATCGGGTTGGAATGCCAACATCCTATGGGTCCAGTCAACCATCTGGTTGGAATACCCCAGGCCCTCAACCATCGGGTTGGAATGCCAACATACTATGAGTCCAATCATCATCGGGATGAAATACCCTCGGGGCAATTCAACCATCGGGTTGGAATGCTCTGGTCTGTTGGCATAACTTACGCACAAAGTAGTGAAGCCTCAGCTACCGACCAATCATGTACACATATAATAGATAATCATATGACAGTCTGCAGTCAGACAAGCATATCTACAGATCACTAAGCATAGCAACATCCTATCTACCAAGATACCGATCTAACAGATCATAACAGCATAGCACCATCCTATCTACCAGGATACCGATCTAACAGGTCATAACATCATAACAACATCCTATCTACCAGGATACCGATCTAACAGATCATAACAATATAGCAACATCCTATATACCAGGATACCGATCTAACATATCATAACAATACAATACCATGCATAACAGGATATCAATCCAATGGGCCGGCATTGGTGCCTTCGACCCACAAGTATAGTGAGGAAAACTCACCTCGAATGCAGAAACTCCCCAAAAGAAATCCTTAGCTGCTGCCCTGCCGGCTTCCTGAGCTATCAAAACCAACAACACACCTAATTAGCAATTGGGTTCCAAGCTATAATCCATAATCCTTACCTGGGTAAAATAACCATTTTACCTTAGACCCAACATGAACCGAAACTGAGGCCCAAAACAAAAAGATCCACAAAGGCCCACTAATGGCCCAATTTTCCAAATTGGGCCCAACCCCATATGGTTATTATCCTAAGCCCATAATTTTCCTTATTACAATTCAGATTACCATCTAGTACCCCGTGGGACAAACTTGTTCAAAGACATAAATCGAAGGTCAAAGTCAACGGTCAAAATTGACCCAAATCGCCGAGTTGTCCTTCAACTCGTCGAGTTTCTCCATCAACTGCACAGATCGGGGAAAACCAAGCCAACTCGCCGAGTTGACCAACAAAATCATCGCGTTCCTCTATCAATCTGAAAATATTGGGGAAAACCGAGCCAACTCGCCGAGTTTATCCAACAAACTCGCCGAGTTCTCCAGAAACCCACCTCTTAATACATCAATCACTTAATCCATAAGGACATGACTCCAAAACATATATTTGACTTCCTTGAGCTGGAAAACCACGTAAAGTTGCAAAATTTACTTTCATGCATGTCAAAATGAAGCTCTTAAGCTTGGAATGGACTTTATAATTTGACTTAATGCATGCATGACACTAAAATCCTCATAAAGTTTGCACCTTTAAGCTCAAGGGTATCAAAACCAACTCAGATATGAAAGAACAGCCCTAAAATGACTTTACTCCATCATCATCCCCAAAAAAGAGGCCAAAACACAACAAACCCCCAAAATAAGGAGATCTAATCATCTATAAGTCAAGGTATGGACTTGATACCTTAAAATGACTGCAACAAATGGAGTGATTCTGGATCCAAGACTTCCTTCTCCAAGCTAGAAACTTCAAGATCTTCTAATTCCTTCACAATGCACAAAATGAACACCAAACTTCCTTCCAAGGCTCCAAAAACTTGACAATGGAGGCTACAACTCGTTTTAGGGTTTGGACAACAATGGAGGCTGATAAGGAGGCCAGAAAAAGGACTTAAGGACTTTAAATAGGGTGCAAGACCTTAAAAATTAGGGTTTCCTTCTCAGCTGCCAACTCGTCGAGATGAGGATCCACAACTCGTCGAGTTGGTTCATTAAACCCCCGCGATCCATCCATCTTCAACATGACGAGTTGGTCCCTCCAACTCGTCAAGTTGACCTGGAAATAAGGTTATTCTCAACAATTTCTCTTCAAGAATTTGGATGTTACAACTCTCCCCCACTTAAATTAGATTTTGTCCTCGAAATCCCTCCTTACTAACACTCAGAACCAAAAAAAAAACACTTGAGGAACGCACTTGAAAATTCTGCACATAAACGGCCTTCCCAAAACAATCAATCCCAAATAGAAACTGCCATCCTGAAGAAGAACAACCCATAATCCCATGCAAAGACCTAACCTTATATATCCGAACTTGGGTATCGAATTGGTCTGACTCCCTGACAGACCTCCCAAACTGAACCAATTGCTAAAACAATGACACTTATCAATCGAACAATCTATTCATCATTTGATGATAACAATTCCATAAAAACACAAGAGATACAAATTACAAACTTCCTCAACTGTCGGGCCGATACACTGCTGCTAAGAGCCCGAAACCTCATCACTTGCCCTTCATTCACAAGATGAAGCCATCCTGGAGTGCAGACACATAAGCTAAATCTCGAATCCTCCAACTGATGCCTTTGATATACATATTTCTTAACCCCCTTCCGCTCTGGATACAAACCTTGCACGGACCCACTCACGATTCTCAACACCAGTTCCCACCAAAAGCCTGCTCGAGAATGGCTACCCATGATACCTCCTCATAGAACCTTCCCTTAAACTGATGAATATCCATTTGAATCTACCCCCAGTCCCTAACTGGGGCATTACCAGAACCATGAAAAATGATCCTCGAAACACACCGACCATGAACTTCACCCAAAATCGAACCATATGATGAACCCAAAATCTTAGCAATCCTTGACCCGTTGCTATGCTATTACCAACCACTGCTTTGACGAGCAACGACGATCAAACCCTGAACTTCTGCGATACATCCAACCCTTACCGGTTCCGGTGCACCCCCACCTGGGCATCCACTAGATACAAACACCGAGAACTTTATGACTTACGATTGCATAAGAAATTTCCAACTTGAGAATCACAATCTAACAATAGCTTGGGAACAACTGGAATTATAATGCGTACAACCTGCCGAGACTTTCTATTACCTGACTGTTACTTTCCTCAATCCTTACTGCTTCCCTTATCCAACCAACCGATTTACGACTCGCCCGACCCCCATCAATGCGTCCACACTGAAAGAACTACAAGCATAAGAAATAAACCATTAAGATCACTAGGCCCACAGCCTATGGCTAGAATGCTCCCGATAACCAACCAACATTGTCGTCATCGCATCATTGGCCCAACACTCCGCGCTTGAAGATACCCACTTCATTCCATTACCTTGAAGGGACCTAAATAACTCCCTTACAATGCCAACTAAGCACCACCAAAACAGCTACCAAGAAAAACCTTATGAAAACAAAGTTGCACACGATCCGCGGATAGGATAAAGGTTGCACTCTTGATCCAAATCGGAAGCTGAAAACCCAAGAGAACCATGCACATAATTTGAACCAAGAGCCCCAATTCCCTCTAGCCCAACTCACAAGGAGCACCCCCATGCACATACTTAAGAACCCATAATCTCATCTGAAAAAAAAAGAAACACCAGAGATAATCGAAAAGGCCACCTTACTCAAAACAAAAAATATCCTCATGATCGGTCAAACAAGACCCCATACTTGTTTGAGACTGAACGAATTCCATCACTACACCACTAGCTCGAGAAGACCTCCAAGATGATCCTATAAGCTACCAAAACCTGAGTCTTCTACGAATTCAGAATTCCACTTCACCATTAAGGGTAAACATACCCATGGACCAAGGGATCATAAACACACTGCACAGGAGGGTAGGTGACACATTCCTTGCTCTAAACTGTCACCACTTGAATCCTTCAGAGAATTCCCGTTGAAAGAGGAACTCAATGACCAATGTCTTGGACACCTTGACACCTAAGCCAAAGAACCGCAACCCACCTGGAGCTGAACATACCCCCTTTTGGAAAAAGGTTCACCACTCAACATCTGCCCAACAAATCTGAAAGCAGCAAACCAAACAGCGAATTGACGGAACCCTCAATGACTAATGCTCAACCTGAGAATCTCAATTCTCCACCACTTAGAACTCGAACCACCGCCCACTGGTGGTGAAACCAAAACATAACCCAAACAGCCCAACCAGGTACAACCATACTTAACCATGAAATGAATATCATCCGCAGAATGGTCCTCCAGATACGGATCAACGAACCCCAAGAAAAACTTGAATTTCAGCTGAAAACCTCTGAATTTCCCATAATGACCACTTACAAAGCATAGGCAACTACCGATTTACAAACCAAACATACACCCCTTGCTTGCAACCTACACGACAATCCGGCACCTGGTTTTCCCATCTCCCAAGGATACAGCCCTTTCTCATATCGCTAAGGCACTCGTGCCACATCAAACCACTTGCGCACACCAGCGCTAACATGCTGTTGCCAACCACC